CTCGGACTAAGACACCACTTATCGCCACCTTGGAAACCGCTAAGTAAAGGTATAGTTGTTCATCTGCCTTCAGAGTGTGCAACAAAGGGGGGCTTGACAGGTATTACTTGAGTTCTTACCAAGCTTGTTGGCATTCCGGTGTCCAAGAAAAATCATTCTTCTTTTTCAATAGTGAGATGAATCGATGGCTCTTATCGACGATCTCGAGATGAACCGGCCCAATGCGGCTATCCGCCCTGTCAGTCTTTGAACTGCCTTGACGTTGTCGATTACGGTGATGTCCTCTATGGACTTTATTTTGTCGATGTTGATCTCTATCCCTCGATCAGATACCATGAACCTGAGAAACTTGCCCGAGCCGACCCCAAATGCACACTTCTCTGGGTTTAGCTTCATATTGTACTTCCTTAATATATCGAAGGTTTCCTGCAAATGTTTCAAATGGTCCTCTACTCGCAGAGACTTGACCAACATTCGTCAATATAAACTTCCATTGATTTTTCTATTTGTCCTTCGAACATCCGGTTTACTAGGCGTTGGTTGGTGGCACCAATGTTCTTTAGTCCGAATGGCATTACGTTATAGCTGTATGTCCCGAACTTTGTTATGAAATAAGTCTTTTCTTGATCATCCGGGTCCATCCGAATTTGGTTGTACCTGGAGTAGGCATCGAGAAAGTTGAGTATCTCGTGCCTGACCATCGCGTCGATCATTCGATCGATTTTAGGCAAAGGGAAAGAATCCTTCAGATATGCTTGTTTTAGGTCCCTATAATCTACACACATTCTTAGTTTATTTCCTTTTTAGGTACTACCACTATGTTAGCTAACTAATCCGAGTATTTAACCTCCCGGATGGAACCTATTTCTAGAAGTTTGGATACCTCATCCTTGATGAATGCGTGTTTGATCTCGGACTGTGCCCTTCTCTTCTTCTTGACCGGATGTAACTTCGGGTCCAAACTTAGCTTGTGAGTAGTTACCTTCGGTGGGATCCCTGTCATGTCTAAATGAGACCAAGCAAAACAGTCGATGTTAGCTTTAAGAAAATTAATAAGTTTTTTCCTGAGCTCGGGGGTTAACCCCGTACCCATGTATACCTTTCAATCCGGTAGGTGCTCGACTAGTATAACTTGCTCCAACTACTCAACCGTTCATTTGGTGGTGTCGGTGTCATCGAGAGCTATGAATGATCTCGGGACACTGTAATCGTGTACATTATTCGCTCCTTGTTCTTCCCGTTTCTCCGATCTGGATGAGGCCGGTATCATTGACTGCTATTTAATCTCTTCTTTTTTGGTCAGTTCCGTGCTCTTCGATGTTGAAACCACGGGCATCGAGATCACTTCATCGACATCAAACATTTTCCTTGCGGACGACTATTCTCTTTAGACCATTTTGACTCCCCCCGGTGTGGGAAATTTCAGCGCCTGGTGTAAGTTCGAAGGTACCGCCCTCATGTTGTGGACCCATGGACTTTCGAATAAAGCATTGTACCTCATGCCCTCTTCGATCACATAGAACTTTGTTTCATGGATTGTTCCGATAGTGTTTACCGGAAAAGTTATCTCTTCTTTCGTGGTCTCACATGTCATGTTGAATTCATTCAATACCCGGACCGTCGGTGCGATTTGATCCTGTAACCCTAATTGCTCTACGACCCTTGACCTGATGATGTTGGCCTAGCTACCTGGATCAATCAACACACGTTTAACCCGAGATGTATTGATAAGTATAGATATTACCAGTGCATCAGTGTGAGGCTATACGATGCCCTCGACATCTTCGTCACTGAACGAAATAGCTCCCTCCGTAACATAATCCCCGGTGCATTTTTACCTCATAATAGATACTTTAGTGCATTTTATCATTGTCCCTTGGGGGACTTTGACTCCTCTAATGATCATGTTGATCACATGCTAAGGCTCTTCTAGTTCGACATGTTTGTTGGCGTCCCTCTTTCTGAAGTGGGTTTTGGCTCGCTCGCTTAGGAATTCTCGGAGGTACCCATTGTTGAACAGTCGAGCAACTTCTTCTCTTAACTGTCAGCAATCTTCGGTCATATGATCGTGAATGATGTGATACTTACACATCAAATTAGGATCTCTCTGAGCTGGGTCGGACTGTAATGGTTGGGGCCACTTGGTATCTTTGGTGCACCCTATGGCCGATACGATGCTTGCAATGTCTACGTTGAAGTTATACTCCGATAACCTTGGCGCTTCCCTACTCCCGAGTGACCTGTCGAACCCGTTCTTGCTTATCAAACCGGTCGCTCAGCCCTCGATCGCTTCTCTTATCGATCCTTACTGGGTGACGCCCGTATCTATTTTCCCTCCGATCCGTGCTGTATGGATGATATCGATCTCGGACCTGTCTTGGCTCCTGATCAATGGCTCTCTTAGATCTATCATCAGTTATGATGCAGTAAACAGACCCAGAAGGGCCCCCGAGTTGGTCGTCCTCGACCCTGATATTCGACTGGCACCTATTGTGGACATCGGTTGAGGTTACCGCCAGGTGCTCCACCAAATTTTGCTTTAGCTGTTGAGAGGCCACAAAACTTCTGGGGTTAAACCCCTGAGTGAATGCCCGAACAACCCAATCATCCCCAACTGGTGGCATATCCATCCGCTCCATATGGAATCTTGACACGAACTCCGAGAGCTTCTCGTTATCCCTTTATTTGACCTTGAAAAGATCTGACTTTCTAGTCTCGAACTTGATGGCTCCGGCAAGGGCCTTTATGAAAGCATTTGCAAGTATAGCAAACAAATCAATGGAATTTGGAGGTAGGTTGTGATACCATATCATTTCTCCCTTGGACAATGCTTCCCCAAACTTCTTCAGCAACACCGACTCTATTTCGTAATCTTCCAAATCGTTCCCTTTGATCGCGTATGTATAGGAGGTTACATGCTCATTTGGATCCGTTGTTCCCATTATATTTGGGAATGCCGGGCATTCAAAACCTCTTCGGGATCGACTTTGGTGCCGCGCTTGGAGGAAATGGCTTCTAAATTTTTTTTAGAGTCCGATCCTTTCAATATCGGGGTGCTCCCCGGATCTGATCGACCCTAGAGTTGTATGTTTCCACCTTTTTGTCGTTGGCCACAATTTTTTTCTCGCCTGACTCCACCCGTTTGGTTAACGCTTCGAGCATCTTCATTACCTCTGAAGTTTCCCGGGCTCGGCTCCACCCGGTCTCTAGGTGGTTTTTTCATCTCTCCCAGTACATTCCCTAGATTGTTCGGCCTAGACCCTGTTAGGTGCGTGGTTTTGATTACGCAATTGTGCTATTGCCGCCTGTTGAGCTTGTAACATTTTGAAAATCAGTCATAGGCTCACCCCATCACCTTCACCTTCGGGAGCTTCTCGAGCAGTTGGTCGTGGTCCTCCACGAGCACTATTTTTAGAATCAGTTGTCAAATTGATGTTGATGGCCGCATGTGAGTTAGCATCGACTGAGTTGGCAGCTGGGACACCATTGGGATCGGAAAGAAGCACATCATTACTAGGCACCACATTATTATTTTCGCCGTGATGGATTGACTCAACGTCAACGTTCTAGTGAGCAGATTGAGAGTTTGACATTTTTAGGCTGACCTGAAATTAAGATTTCAAAGAGCAAGCGTAAAATAAAATGCGTTATGGAGATTCGTACCAAATTACCACTATTATCCTTAGCCCCACGGTGGGCGCCAAGCTGCTTATCCCAAAAAATAAGTAACAATTAAATTTATACGCGGTTTAAAGGATACATGATTTAATTTAATACGAACAAATAAGAATAAAAGATAGATGAATTAAAGACGAAATAAACAATCAAACCAATCGCAATGTGATGACCAAGCCTAGTCTCAAATTGGACAATGTCTCTCATCCATGATTGGACCCTCGGTACAAGCTCGGTCGTGAGTAAAGAATAGAACAAATAAGTAATTCCTTGCACAGTAGCTAGGAGACAAAAGTAAACTTTTACTGCTTTGAATTGCGTGTTACAATGTGTTAGATAAAAAAAACTTCCCCTTTATATAGTAGGAGAATTTCAAACATAGTATAAGTCCTACAAAGGTAAAAAAAATCTTGTTTTCCCGGTAGTTGTTGATCTGTAATGAACAACGAACGGTATTCCTGCCGTAAAATTCGTTTGAGGGCGAATGCTCGCTATCCGTCATGCATAAACGTCCACCGTATCTCCCGAGATACAAAGGCTACACTTGGTCCGGGGCATGTAGCCTTGCTGTGTCTGATCTTCAATACATCGTTCACTGTTCCCGGGTCTCAATACGAGGAGTTCCCGACTTCAATTATCATTTCGACGATCCGTGCTTCCCCTTCGTTCTCTCACCGGGGAATCGGGAAAAACTTTACCCCCGATTTTACCCGTACATAATGACAACCTACTAAAGGTATACAACTGCCTTTTCCTGATCGTTCAGCCCATCATTATTGGCATTGGTTTATTTTAAATATGACTACACAATAATTACGCCTCAATTTCAAATATGTTGGAGTTGTTTATATATATGCTTACTTCTCCATTAAAGCTTAATTAGCACCTAAATGGAGCTTGTTGGCTCAGTTCTATGGCATTCTACACGTGAAATGCTAATTAATTAGAGAACAAATAAGAATATACAGTTGTCACTATATATCTATTTAATTGTCCAGTTCAGCTACATCTATTAAGCAAGATTTGGTTAGTGCAACTGCTAAATTAATTAGCAGATAATCACTATATTATTATGAGGCTTCACTTATTTAAGAAGCTGCCAAAAAGAAGATGAGAACAAAAAATTCAAAGAACACAAAAATAACGTGCTTGAGATTAAACACTCAACAAGCTAAGCATAGTCTGGTTAAATTTCTTGTATATAAAGCCCTCAAACAAGAACTCTAAGTACACCATCTTTTCGTTTCCTGTCTTTAATCTCCTTGCAAAGCCAAAAAGGTAAGAAATAGAAGAAAAAAAGAGAGGAAATATATATTAAAAGAACCATGAAAGTTAAGGTAGAAAGCCCAAGAATTATCAAGCCTTTATATGAAATAACTCCTCCTTCAAAAACAAGCCAAATTCCTCTTTCTGTCTTTGATACAGTCACTTATGATGCCCACATTGCAGTAATTTATGCATATCATCCACCCACCCCATCAAATTCTGCCATTGAGTTAGGACTTCAAAAAACATTAGCCATTTATAGGGAAATGGCAGGGAGATTAGGCAAAGATGAAAGGGGTAATCTTGTCATTTTACTCAATGATAAGGGTGTTAAATTTATTGAGGCATCAGTGGAGAGTGCACTTGATCATTCAATACTCCTCAAGCCTTCACCAATTTTGCTTAATTTACACCCTAGCTTAAAAAATGTTGATGATTTGATACAAATTCAAATCACTAGATTCACTTGCGGCTCCATGATTGTTGGATTTACAATCCACCACCGAGTGGCTGATGGCCGTTCCGCCAGCCACTTGTTGGTTGCATGGAGCCAAGCCACTCGAGGCCTCGGAGTCAATCCACTTCCTTTTCGCGATAGTACCATTGTCACCCCTAGAAACCCTCCCCTCATTGAGTTTGAGCATGAGGGCGCAGAGTTTATATCTAAAAGGGCGCAAAAAGAATATTCGCTCAACGGATTAACTCCTTATATGAAAAATGATGTTGTTGTGGAAAAATTTCATTTCACTCCCGAGTTTATCACCAAGCTCAAGGCAATAGCTTCTTCCAAGAATGGCCAAAATAGGCCTTTTAGCACTTTTCAAAGCCTTGTAGCACATTTATGGAGGGTTATGACTCGAGCTCGCAACCTACATTGTTCAGAAACAACCCAAATAAGAATTGCGGTTGATGGTCGAATGAGATTAATCCCAAGAGTATCCAATGAGTACTTCGGGAATTTAGTCCTTTGGGCATTCCCGACTGCAAAAGTGAAGGACCTTTTGCGAGAGCCTCTTCCATATGCAGCAAATCTCATTCACGATGCTATCGCAAAGGTAAACAACGACTACTTCAAGTCATTCATTGACTTTGCAAGTTACGAGGCGATCGAGAAAGATCTTATCCCCACAGCAGACATGAACAAGCACATACTTTGCCCTAATTTGGAGGTCGATAGTTGGTTAAGTTTCCCATCTCATGACCTTGATTTTGGAACTGGTAGTCCTTGCTCTTCCATGCCATCTTTTTACCCAACAGAAGGCATGTTATTACTCGTGCCGTCTTCAATTGGAGAAGGAGATATTGATGCTTTCATTCCGATATTCAAAGACAACTTGTCAGTCTTCAAGAAATTATGCTATTCTCCAGCCTTCATGCAGATAGAAAAGCTCCATTCATATCTATGATACATAGTTCAATGTGTTACATTTAAGAGTCAGAAAATTGTTCTTGTTTAATTATGCTCTTGTTACGTTTTTATAAAGACGTTATGGTAATTTCAGTGTTTAATTGGTATTGATCATAGGTAAATTTTAGCTTTTGTTTTTTTATGTTTTTAGTCCGTATTTTTCTTTTTCTCAGCCACTAATTACTAGTAATATATGATAAACAAAAAGGCGCGTAAAGGATTCAACATAAACCTTTATGATTATAATAGAAAAAAATAATTCTGCAAAGATTGTTTTATTTTCGTATCACTTGCGTGTAAAAATAAAGATTATCGCAATTTTTTTTTATATAAAACCATTTTTTTTGTAATGGGTCACAAACCAGTTGATTCCCATAAACGGTATCCTACCTATACCAAAGGAGAAAAGAGGAATTTACATAGAATACAATATATTTAAGATTAATTATTTAAATAACTTACAACTACTTCTCGAAAATTACAAATAATACAATTTATTTTAAAATCTCACCTTTTTAATTAAATTACACATAAATTTTCATCTATAATATCTCTCGCTTAAAACTTGAACCTAAAAAATAGGGATTACACCAATTAAAGCATATCACTACATTAAGTTTAAAATTATCATATTTTCTCTCTTATCAAACAATATCGCACCAGTCACTCCAACATCAAATTCTAAAACTTCTTCTCTTTAGAAACGGTGATGGAATTGAATTGGAACCATTCTTATCACCCAACTTATTTTCTCCCCACAATATTATATCTCGGATATTGTATAATACTTATTTATGTATATACACTTTACTATAAATTAAAGGTAGACTATATTAAAATTATTCTATGCATTTTTGCAAAGTGTTAATTAATATTTGTATATTGTATATATAGTTATATATAATATATGTATTATATATACTATATATTATTATTCGTATATATAATATACAGTATATTTAATAGCTATATATATATATATATATATATATAATATGTATAATATAATATTGTGTTTATTGTATAATAACATATAATATTTGTATGATTAATATTATATAGATGATGAAAGGATGAAAGAATAGAGCAATTTTCATCCGAAATTATGGAACATGAGTCTCTGTTTTTATGGAGGATGTAGTGTGGGTATGAGATAATATTTTGTATATTGTATAATAACATATAATATTTGTATTATTAATATTGTATAGATGATGAAAGGATGAAAGAATAGAGCAATTTTCATCCGAAATTATGGAACGTGAGTCCCTATTTTCATGGAGGATGTAGTGTGGGTATGAGATAGTGTTATAATAGTAACCTAATGTATTTATAGTGATAATCAATAATTAATAAATTAAAGAGTTTTAGGAGCTAATTATGGAATACGTTTCAAATTAGAATTCCCCTTTATTAGGAAATCTACCTTTTTAGAGTATATATATTTTAACATTTGTTGTAGAATATATTATTCTATTATTAGTTGTAGATTATGGAATATTTTTAGAATCCATAGGTAATTATGAAAATCTCCCGAAGGAAAATCTTCAAAAGGTGGGATGGGCCTTTCTAATGGATTAAGTAGTGTTCGTCTAGCGCAATGGGTGTATTGGCTAGCCCATGGTTTGCACGTTGATATACTCAACTTCCTTTTATCAGGTTTATTTACAATATGATGGTGCCCTCGCGAGAACATTCCTCTCCGGGACAGTTTGGCCTTAATAGTAACTTATTATGATCCAATTATTTAGGTGTAATAAGTATGCACGAAATACAGTTCAGAGTATATATAGTTAACATTCAAAAGCTTATGACCTTATATGCATACCTTTCACTCTTAAGATCTTTCAGTGGAAAGTGACTTTTGGTATTACCTTGGTTTAACATTTTCGAGTTGCCTATTTTTTATTTTATTTTTGTTTTGGAGGAACTTTCACCATTTAAATGGAACTCAATATTAATCTTGAATAACATGAAGTAAACAAGTAACTTACAACTTGATTGAAGCAAATACTCCATCTAAGTAATACTTTTTGACCTTTTAGCATCTGAACTGTGCAATGTATATTTGTTAGGAGAGGGAAACACATAGGTGCCAGTCTTTTCTAAATGAGGAAGAAAATCCTAACATCTAAGCCTAAATTGGACTAATGGTGTAAGTTTGGTTGTACTTCTATCTATTTATATTACTTTTCTTACATGTGCAACCCTATAATTAACATTTAAAAACTTCAGAATTTTTGTTAGAGCCCAAACTGATAGGCCTTCTACATAATAGGCCCAATAAAAATTGTATAAGACGTGAGCCCAATTACTTGTAAATACACATTTATTGCTGTAAATAAAAATACTCCTAAATGAAATAAAGAAAGGCAGATGGTCATTTTCTCTTTTTACTTTTCTCTCTCTCTCTCTCTCTCTCTCTCTCTCTCTCTCTCTCTTATTCTCGACCCTTCTAGGGTTTTCTTATTCCTTCTTCCTCCATAGCTCGTCTGAGTTTCATCCTAACATGGTATCATAGAGGAAATTCTGATTCTCCACATCATAAGCTTCATTCTCAATGGAGATTTTCTCGGAGATTCCATCAAAATTGATTTCTGGTTAAAATCGGAGATTCCGTTGGGGTTTTCATCTGTCACTACTAGAAATCCAGTAAAAACCGACCAACGTTGATCGGCAATGACCAATAACCGTCCAAAACGCGACCATTTACGTGTGGACGGTATTTTAGAGGTCGGAAAGGCATACCGACCAAAGTTGGTCGGAAATTACCGACCAACTTTGGTCGGTCGATCAAATTCAAAAAAAAAAAATATTGCAAAAAAACCTGACCAAAGTTGGTCAGTTTTTTTCTATCAAAGTTGGTTGGTATTTTAATTATGTAATCAAAAGATTCACCATCTGGGAATCAAACCGGGGTCTGTACTGTAGCAGGATACTATTCTACCACTAGACTATTGGTACATTTTGTTTTAAGGCTGTTTTTATTTGATTTATACTCTTTAATTATATTTTCACACGAAATTAATCGACCAAAGTTGGTCGGTTTTTTAAAATGATGGGCCGAATTAACCGACCAATTTTAATATTAATTTTTATTTATTTTAATTGAAAAATCGACCAAAATTGGTCGATTTCTTGAAAAATAAATTTTGAGGGTCAAAAATAGTTGCCCGCATTTTTGCGCCAAAGAAAACCGACCAAAGTTGGTCGGTTTCGTAAAAATAAAATTAAAAAATAAAATATTTTGAAAAACCGACCAACTTTGGTCGGTTTTTTGACCGACCAAAGTTGGTCGGTTTCGTAAAAATAAAATTAAAAAATAAAATATTTTGAAAAACCGACCAACTTTGGTCGGTTTTTTGACCGACCAAAGTTGGTCGGTCCACCTTGGTCGGTTTTTGCCGAATTTCTAGTAATGTGTGGTCGGAAAAGTTTAGGGTTTTAGCTCAAATCATCTCCTACTACACTCGTATTGATGAGAAGTCACAGTTTTGTGAAAGATTCAATAGAAATTTCCGTTCGATTCAAGCTAGGGTTTTTGCGCTACATGCAAGGCCTTACTTCTTCGGGTTTTTCAGAGGAAGGCTAATAATATCACTCTAATCTACACATTTGAGGATTATTTTGATATATCTTAGGGTTTAAATTGTGTGAGTTCCATATTTGCACGTCGTTATTTTTGAGTTGTTAGATTGTATGGATAAGGATTTCCTTTTGTTGTTAGTCGCCTCTAATTAGTCTATGCTATGGGTAGAACTGGTGATAGTTTAGTTTCTACACCTGAGGAATTTGCACCTTTTACACTCGATCCCTCTCATCCCTTCTATGTCCATCCCTCTGATAGTCTTGGTAGCCAATTGGTACACGTGCTATTTGATGGGCATGGTTTTGTGCTTTGGAGGAGTAGTATGCTCACTTCTCTTTCAGTCAAAAACAAATTAAGGATTTTAGATGGTAGAATCAGTCAACCTAGCCCTAATTTACCTTATTACCCTTACTGGGAGAGATGCAATGATATGGTGAAAGCCTGGATCACCAATTATGTATCTCGAGATATTGCTATCAGTGTTATGTGCTTTATAACTGCCAAGGAAGTTTGGAATGATATCAATGAGAGGTTTGGACAATCAAATGGATCCAAATATCTCCAGATTCAGAGAGAAATAAGTGGTACTGTTCAGGGGGCTTCAGATATTGCCACATATTTCACCAAACTTAGAAGTCTTTGGGATGAGTTGAACTCCTCATATGTAGGGCCCATATGCTCTTGTGGATCCCTTCCCAAGTTTATAGAAGATCAACAACTTTTCCAATTCTTAAATGGTCTCAATGACTCCTACTCAACTGTGAAAAATGCAATAATGATCATGAATCCTCTGTCACCTATTAGCAAGGCTTATTCTCTCATACAACAAGATGAAAGTCTATTTCTTCAACTCCTACCACTGCCAGTAGAACTTTCACACAAAAGGTCAACTTTGACTCAAGGAAGAATATGTCTTCTGTTTCTTGCCAGTATTGCAAGAAGCCTGATCATACAATGGACAAGTGCTACTGGTTACATGGGTTCCCTGCAGACTTCAAGTTTACTAAAAATAAGAAGTTAGCCTCTTGTGTTCAAACTGACATTCCTCATGTTCTGCCAAATGGTCATACATCTCAATATATCTAACAATTCTCCTCATGGGTTCACAAAGAAACAATATCATCACCTGATGACTTTATTCCAACAAGTTCAAATGTCTCATAGTACTAGTTTTGAGACTTTTCCTGCTGAGAACTCTACACTTTGCAGGTTTGTTTACTGCTTATGCTGTTGATTCTGATAACTCTCATGTATGTGCAACTTCTCAGTTAGGAATAAATTCTTGAATATTAGACTCACGAGCAACAAACCACACGACTCCACATAAATACTTACTTTACAACCTTGTACCCTTACCTAAACCTTTTCTTGTTACCTTACCTAATGGGTATAAAGTTAAGGTAATGTCA